CAAATATTTTTATTCAAATTGAAAGATAATAAATAAATTAATTTAAATTTTAAAAATTATTATAAAAAAATTTAACTCTTCTGATTTTGAACTACCTTTTAAACCTTAGTTGAGTCTCTAAATAAAAGTGTTCTACATGAAAATCTACATCTATAGTTAAAATTTTGTAATTTTAGCAAATAATAATAAAGAAATTCGTATTAATAAAAAAACTTTGTGAATTGTTAAGTTTATGAGCCTATTATGAGGTTCGAGCTGAGCTGAGCCTAAAACTTTTGGGCTTGGCTCAGCCTGAGCTTTATGAGGCTCAGCTCGGCTCAGCTCGGCTTATAAGGAGCTTTATGCATGGTACGTTCCTAATATCGGGTATATATCGAATACCCGATATGTATAAAAAATATTTTATATATATATATCAGGTACTCGATAAGTGTAAAAAATATTTTTTACACATATCGGGTATCCGATATATGCCTGATATTAAGAACGTATCATGCACATATCAGGTACCTAATATATGTATTATTTATCAATTTTTGACCAGTGTAATGTGGTAATGCTAATAGAACTAATACCAAAATTCATGGTGCTGGTTTTACTAGTAAGTATTAATGTCATAACATATTTCTTTATTTGTAGCATTGTATTAATTTTTATTTCTTAAAAGAATATGTGACAAAAACTATCCAATGCATCATTTCATCCAAAAAAACTAGCTGTAACTGTACCAAATGGAAGTAATGGAGATGTAATTTCTGTTTTTTTTATTGGTTTTGAGTTTTTTAAGCTAGTAATTTCATATATCTTTTTATTTAGAATCGTCTTTGGTCAAATTTGGTCGTGAAAATAATTTACACTGAAATATTGGATCACACTGAAGAAGCTTTGAAATATTTGATGAGTTCTGGTCATACCCATGATTGTATTATCATAAAAATTGACACAGTTTTTTAAGATCAGTACCAAAGTAAGTTATATTTATACAGTGTAGTAATCATATTATTTGTATAACATTCATTTTAATTCATTGTAGGCTTGATATTACTATGTCTCAGCAAGTAGAGGATTAAGAAATACAGTTCTTCTTGTAACTACGATAATGTTAGACTATAGTAATTTGTTTTCTGTTAACATTAAAAATTCCTAATATATATATAATAATTATTAGTTTAAGTTTGAAACCCAAGATGATAAGGAAGTTTCATTAATTATTGCACAAGGTTAATGTATCATTAACATATCATTAAGCTATTTTTATCATAATTTTAAACATCTGAATCCTCCTACACTTTCTATCTAATCTCAAACTCTTTTACCTAATCCTATTCCATTGGATTTTTTTTTTTTGTTCAACATGTTATTAAAGAAATATTTGACTATTAGAGAAATATCCACAATATTGTGACCTTTATTTTAAATTTTTTACATAAATCTACTTGGGTTTATCTTTAATTATTAAGCATTTTTTTACCTATTGCTAAATTCTGTTATTAATAACTGGAAAATGTATTACACCATGCTACTTTATTCATAGCATTTGGAATCTATTATGTGTAAAAAATGTAATAATTTTTTCATAAGACCTAGGATTATGCAATTATGTAATTTTTCACTTTGACTTTGAATACATTTAAAAAAAAAATCATACAAATGTAGCTAAAGTTTTAAGTTTATTCAATGAGATCCAATTCTTGAAGATGTTCTGGAATAACTATATATAGGTTTTCATAGTATCAAATATACTTTAAAATGATCCAGTTTTCTTCATATAATTCTTTCTTAAGTTGATTCCTTTCTTGTTTGCTGAAATTTTTTGGATCTCTATGAAAGAATTCAACATATTTCTCATGTTGTTCTTTCTGTACTTCAATTGTAAAGCTATATTCTAAATAATAAATATCAAGTTCTAATCTTGCAGGATATTTTGATATTTTGAAAAAATCAAATTGACATATCTTAGACAACAGTTCAAGATATTTTAATACAATTTCATAACATAAATTTTTACATTTATATTTTGAACAATAGAGATACTATCTACCTAAAATTTTTACATTAAAAAGTAGTGCATTCCATAAATATCCATAAGTATATTTCCATAACAAATCTAAATGGGTATTAATATATTTTGTAGAAAGACATTTCCCATTTTGACTAATAGTAGTTTATTTAGGAATTTTAAAAGTATACCTATACAATATGGACACCATATATTATTTTTATTTATTTTATTAAAAGTTGTATATCACTTATGATCTTTTACACAACATTATAATAATTTAAAATCACAATTTTTATATTTAGTTGAAAGACATTTTTATTCCATTCATGTTCTTTAGCATAGCATTATAATAAATTAATATCACAATTTTTATATTCGATTGAAAGACATTTTCCATTTCTATCATATACTATTTGTTTAGTAATTTCAAGATTAAGAGATTTTACATACCTGTAACCTGAATACCATGAACCATGATTTTTTATTTTCATAAAATTGGTAATCTATTTATATTCTTTATCACAGTGCCATAACAATGGTGATCTATTATTAATATATTCTTCTGAGACATTCACCATTTTTGTTATGTACTAATTCTTTAACAACTGAAATATCAAACCTGATATCAGAGCAAGTCAAACATCATGTTTTATCATTTTTTATTCTATTAAAGTTTACACTCCGCTCATGTCCTTTTATATATTTCCATTTTAATGGAGTATTGTAATTAATATAATTATCAGAAAGGTATTGTTACCCTGGCTTTCAGCAATTTTACAAGCATCATACACTAGTCAAATACAAAAGAATCACTATATCAAATGGTAATTTCTATATTATAGATCAGCTAAAAATTGGAAAAAATTAATTATCCTATTGTATTTTATATTACAAATTAACTAAAATCAGAATTTCTTTTTAGTATGACATATCTTTTGTATTTGACCTGTGATATATTAAATATTTGATTTGAAATGGTATCAAAAATTGAAATATTTTTAAATAAGAAGTTAGATCTTTAAATATTTGGTGGCCAAGCTATTAACCAAGCATTACCAATTATTATGGATGGTTCAAGATAAAATATGTCAAATTAACAATGTATAATTTATCTAACAATATATAATATATGTATATATCTATTTATTTGATTTAATCTATTTATTAATTATATAACTTATTTATATATATATATCTTTAAAATAAAATTATCTGAGGTATTCCTGTGAACTAGTACTTTAGACTTTTATTTTGTTATCTCTGAGAACTGATAATATTTTTTACTTTAATTTTTACATATCAATCTGTTTTATTTAGCACAAAAATACCATATTAGATATACACGTTAAAAATAGACAACTTTATTTTAGTATGTTTAAATTGAATATATTAAAATTAGTCCCCCAAAAGTATATTCTTTTATTATACAGCACTACTTATTACGTTTGTTCTTTTTTTTTCCTTTTTTCTGGTGTAATTATAGGCAAAGTATTTAGCTTATTCAATATTAAGTTTTTCAGAATCACAATTACAATACATATACAAATTGTGGTGATTTTTATATTATAAAAAGTAACACATCATATATGACATTCATCACAATGGATATAATAACTATGATTTAACTAAATTCTCTAACATGTTCATTTGAAAAAGAATTCTTTTATCAATTCGATACAGTAGAAAAAAAAGGAAATTTGTAAAATGGTTTAATAATTATAAAAATAAATAATTACACTCTAACCTGTAAAATAAATAAATAATTACAGTCTAACTTTGTAAATAAATAAATAATTTAAATAATTTATATATCTTTTTTATTTTTTATCTTCTTCTTCATCACTAGTTCTTTTAAAGTGATATACAGTTTCTTCTCCAGTTCTTGTTAAACCAAGTTCCTGAAGTTTATGGAATGCTGCTGAAAAATCTTTGAAAAATAATTCTTCATCTTTTGCATACTCTTCGACATAAGGTTTTAATTTTTTATCCTATATAATTAATAAGTAAAGAAATAAATGTCAAAAAATAATAATAATAATAATAATATAAATATGAGAAATTTAAGTATATGAATAATAATAATAAATAAATAAATAAAAATTTAACCTGAATCAATGCTAAATCTGCCGGAAGCATCATAAGTTCACCTAATAAAACATTTCACAGGAAACATTAATCCAATATCAAACAATGTATTAACAATGAATTACACCATGTATTATTATTATTATTATTATTAAACTTACCTGTTTCCTTATCAACATATTGTTTTGGTCCTTTCCATTTTTTTTCTTGCCATTTCTTTTTCAAAAGTTCAACGTAATAACCATTAGTAAATAAAGTGGGTGAAGTAGTCCAAGGACCAGAATATCCTGATCTATCTGGGTGACATCTGCCAAGAGCATGAGCTCCTGCAAGAGCAACAATTTCTCTAAATCAAAATAATAATAATAATAATAATAATAATAATAATAATAATAATAATAATAATATATCAGAATTTATAAAAAAAAAAAAAATTCTTCATAAATTTTATAAATTTAAAAGGTTTACCGATCATCAAATCCCATGCGATTAAAGATTTCACGAAGATGGTTTGAAGATTTGGAAGCATCAGGGAGAAGGCCATCAGCAGTACATTTCGTTCCATCATCAGCGTCTTTACTGTTTGACAAATTAGTGATATGATAATTTTATTAGAACGCACAAAGTATCGTATAAAAAATTACCGTCCTGGGATCCATGGAATTATTGGTCCTCCCTAAGATAGTATAAGATAATATAAAATAGTATAAGATAGTATAAGGTAATATAAGATAATATAAGATAGTATAAGATAGTATAAAATGGTATAAGATGGTATAAGATAGTATTTGATAGCATTTAAATTTTGGTTCATTAAAAAACAACCAAAAGCAATGAAAGAAATGAAATCAATAAAAAAAAATGTATATAATTTTTTATACCATCTCTTGAATTGCTGTTACTCCACCTAAACTCCACAAGTCTGCATATGTTATTTCAGGATTAGCCAATTTTATAATTTCCAATTTATCCCTTGCTAATTTTAATCCAGCATTCGCTCCATGATCAGATTCTGGTGAAAATCTCATCGTAGAACCATCGCTACCTCCAGTATTGGTGTTTTTATCATAAGTTCCAGAAGCATGCCATGCCAAACGAAGTAATATTGGTCCATATGATCCATCATCATAATCATTATCTTCAAGAATATCAGCAATTTGACGATAAATCTTTGCATAATCTATAACTTTGAGTTTGTCAGAAACTTTATTTCCAGATATTCCAATATCTTTAATAAGATTATTGGTATAAAGATAATAACTTCCACCTCCTCCGATAAGAGCTGCGGCTCCAATTAAATATAAAATTTTATTACTACTATTACTTTTAGGTGGTGGTGGTGGTATCGGAGTAGCATATGCACGAGAAAGAACAGGGATAGTATTTTTATGTTCTTTATAAGTAACTGGAACTACCCTAGAATTTTGAAAAGTCGTAAGAGTTCGTCGTGAGGAAAAAACCCGAACAAAACGAAAAGCCATTTTTTTAATCAGTTCATGTCGATCAATGATGTACGATTAGATTTATAAAAAATTCGTATTACATTTATTATTACAAACGATCGCTCGGGTTCACATGACATTTGTATATTTTGAAGTTCTCCTATAGACTAAAATATTTTTTAATTGGGGATCAATGTCAAAATTTAATCCTTTGTGTACAATTGTTGTTACTATAATTTGTGGCAAGTAGATTTTTCCTTTTAATAATCTCAACACTTCCTGAATTTTTTTTGCTGATTGCAAAACAATTACAATAGGTCGGTATTTCACTCATAATCCCAACGCGAAATTGTACATCGAATGTAGATTTACTGATGAGATTCTTTCTACAATTAGTCCCGACTCTAATTCCATACTATCAACTGATAAAGTAGAGCAAGTATCATTTCCTGTATGGGATACAGAGCTTGCCTGGGAAGTAGATCATAAAACTTTACAGATACTTCGTTCCCAATGGGCAAAATTAAAATTGCAATGTTTCTCGGTTAGTGGTAATGAAAAAGTCGAGATCGTTGGTTATTGTATGCTTGATCTAAGAGGAGCCGCCGAAAGACCTGGAAAAGAGAAATGGGTCACTCTTAAGAAACGAGGTCAAGGATTGAGTTCCGAAATAAAAATTGAATTTTGTATCTTACCAAATTTATCCTCACCTTCGACTCCTCAATCAGGAATATTAGAAAACTCAGATGGAAATCTCACTTCAGATGAAATACATGACAAAAAGAAATCATTAATTACTTCAGAAAATAGTGATTTATATAAAATTGGTTCTAATGGGACTGAAATTTTTATATTTGAAATTACAATTAATTTTGGTGCTAATTTACAATTATTATTGCAAGATTCAATCTCTTTTATGACGCAACAACAATTTCCCGAACTTGACCTTTCTACGACATTAAATAATGGATACTTTTTTCAATATAATATATTTGAAAGTAATTTCGTGTCAAGTAAATTCTATGACCTTTTACATCCAAGTTTAAAGCCAGAAACTGCAACATTTCGTATTCAAACATCTCTGGAAGATATTAAAGAATTTTTAATTGAGGAGGAAAAACTCATAATTAATCTTTATCATGATAATCAAACCATTGGATTTGCGGAAATTCCTTTGAAAGGACTTTTTGATTCAATAACGGGTGAACCACGTTCTTTAGATAGAGTATGTCCGATGTATAATTTAAAGAGGGAATTACCTGTATCAGCAGATGTACAAACAGCAAAAATTGGACTTTTCATGTCAATTCGTCGTGAGACCGCAGATTCTTTATCTAAAGATATATCAGAAAGAGCCAAGTCATATCTTTTAGAGAATGTCGGTCAAACTCTTCTTCATGATCTTAATAACGAACACAAATATCGCGTTTTAATAGATTTAGAATCAATAAAATTAAATAATGAGATAAAAAATATTTATATAAGATATAGTTATCCTGCATTGGGTATTACTAATCATAGGTTAACTCAGGAATTGCCTAATGTAGAAGCTGGAGTAGATGTTAAATTAACTAATGGTACAAGTACTGTCGATGTTAATATGACTCCTCAAAGACTTCAAAGATATTTTGAGAACGTTCCTTTACTTATGGAAATATGGCAGAATAATGAATCAAGAAATGTACAAATAGGTGTATCTACATTACGCCTAGAAGAAGTATTCCTTTCTCAAAATACTGTAGATGAAGTAAATAATGCGGATGTAAAAACTTTTACTACGATGGTTCCAATAAAATCCGTGGGATTAGCTACATCACGCGAAATGGGTCACCTAAGTGTCTCAATAAGACTTGACGATTTTGAGCTTGAGAAAAAAGTTAATGAGATCACTAATAAAACCAGACCAACATTAACCAAGTCACATAGCGCATCCGAATTCTCTGAAATTTTTAATGATATAATTCCACTTGCGGATGATTCTGAAACAATCGAATCTGGAAAATCTTTAAAATCTGTTAAGGAAAAGAATGTTGATGATGCTAATCATTCTTCTCCACCAACATCAAAATTTTTTACAGATATTTTTCAACAAGCAGCTGAAAAAATGAAATTTACTCAAGAAATACTTGCTTCAAATCGAAAGGATGTTAAACGTCAAGGTTTTGGTAAACTCAAAGTACAACAATTGATAGAAATCGATCGTCAATTACAACAATCAATTCTTCATTTTCAAACAAGAGATGAAAGTTTATTACGAGCTGAGAAAGATTTTGAGAGACGTTGGTTAGAATTAGATAGACAATATGAGCAGAAAATAAAAGAAACCGAATCACGTTTGCAAGCCGAATATGCACAAAAAGAAAAGAATTCAACACAAAATAATCAGACTGTAATGAATTTACAAGCGGAAGTGAATAACCTGAAGATTCAACTTGATTCTACTTCACTTTCTCAACAACACTATGAATCTCAATGGATACGAGCATTACAAGTTTTGGCGGGCTTGCACAATGTAGAAAATGAAAATGAAGATACAATCTTTTCGAAAGGTTTGCAAGAAATGGATCAATGTTGGTGGCAAGCTAGAAAGATGGCAGAAGAAGAAATGGAATTATTGAATTATGAAAAGTTTGAATTAAATATTCTTAAAGATGAGATCAATAAATTAAAAGCTCAATGATAGTCAATAAATAAAATATTTTTGGATTAATTTTATTTTTAATCATAAAATATCTGAACAGTAATGGCAAACGATAAATTTTATAGTATGGATATGTAAAGGAAGGAAAGAAATAAAGAAAGACCAATGCACTCGCCTTTAGCGATGGGAATGTAATTTACCTAAAATCAATACATACTAATAATCTTACTACAATGGAATCAAATAAATCAAATAATAATAAGAAATTTTAAAATACTAAAGTGGATAAAAAAATTTTATTACAAATTAAATGTACAAAAATCATCAAATCTTAGAATCTTTTACATAATTTATTGTAATTATTGTAATTATAGGAAATAAATAATTAATTAATTAAATAAATAAATATATATATATATAGAAATAAAAATAGAACTTTAACAATACAATTCGGAAGCACGCACAACCTTTGGAACTTTTAATAAATAAATTTATAAAATCTTTTATATTAAAGGATTCATCATCTGCAAATTGGTCGGTCATCATCATCGCTGGAAATTGTTCGGTCATCATAATCAATTTCCTCTTCTTCATAGTCATTTAACACTTCGGAATCAACATCACCGATTTTGGTATCTTCTTCCAACAACAACTCAACAAACCGCTCGTCACGTATTAAGGTCGGCTGTTTGAATGCCGCTTCGTTAATTAATACGGAAAATGTTGACAATGTTTCTTCGTCATTATTATTATTATTAATATTATTAATATTATTAATATTATTAACATTATTATTAATAACAATATCATTATTATTAGAGGCTAAAACAATAATGACATCAACATTAAAATTAGTTAAAAAAAAAAAAAAGTATTTCAACTTATTTTTAAACAATTTATATACCTTCGTCGGTATCGTTTCCAACTCTTAGAACCCTATTAAAGAGGTCCAACATTTGATCGAATGGGAAGGAGAACATCGAATTTGTTGCTATGTACAAAATATATAATAAAGTAATTATATTAATATATATATATACTCTTTGTGGAATTCTAAAGAATATATAAAAAAACTTTAACACTTATAAAAAATGTTCATACCTCGTTCCATGTTTGTTAGTACATAAAAAGGTAAAAAAAAAAAAGGACTTAATTGAAATACTTTAAAAATATATATTTAAGAGTTTGTAGAAAGTTCTAGAGTTTTATTAGACAGATTTTAAAACTCTTTAATTCTCGTTAGAATTTAAATGAAACGTGATAAAATTATCAATAAAAATTTTTCGAATTAATTAATTTTTGATTATCAGTATTTTTTTTTTTAAACAATTGATTATGTATTGTAGTACAATAAAATAAAAATAAAATAGATCAATCACATCTAATGTAATAGTGGTAATAATAATAATAATGTAATGGCAATGTATTATATAATGGCAATGTATCAATAACAACAATAACAATCATTTTCTAACGCCTGACAAAAAAAAATGTTGAAAAAAAAGAACAGATCTACTGTTGACAATATTGACTATACACAAGCACCAACGGAGGATCATGAATTATTAGAATTATCAAAACAAAGTTCGGAGAATGGGGATGATTCAGAATTTGGTCTAAGAAATCGTTCAAGTATTGGTGAAGTTGGTGACGATGAATTTTTATTAAGTGAATCCAAGTTGTCACTACCTTCTGTTCAAGAAGATTCACCGATCCCTCTGGTCTCGGCGGTAAAAATAATTTATTATTGAATTCCTTCTTTTAATTTGTTAAATTGTATATTATATGAAATTCATTTATTATTAATTTAGGCAGTCAGTCTTAAAGATGATCCATCACTACCTTGTCTTACTTTTAGATTTTGGATATTAAGTACCGTAAGTAAAAATATATTTTTTAATACTTTGTATAATAATTTAAATATATTTTATATATAATTTGATTTATAAAATTCTTTTAATTTTTAAAGTTATTCACAGTACTTGGTGCCGCTGTTTCCGAATTTTATTATTTTCGTTCTAATGGTGGTGGATATTCAATATTTTTTGTATTATTGGTTTCTTACGTTTTTGGAAATTGGATGGCTAAATATTTACCAAATGATGAAATAAAATTTTATAAATGGAGGCTTACTTTGAATTCTGGTGGGTTTTTTTTTTTTTTATTATTATTTTTCTCTTCATATTTAATAATGGGTTTAATTAAATTTTTTATTATAATAGGACCATTTAACATTAAGGAACACGTTCTTATAGCTGTGGCAGCGGGTGCTGGTGGTGGTTCTGCATATGGCACGGTATTTACTCATAATTTTTACGCGAATTCCACGCGAATTTTATGATGAATTTTACGCGAATATTGTTAATAATAATAAAAAAATAACGATATTTTATTTAGGATATTATTGCTATACAAGAATTATTTTATAATCAACATTCGGGTTTCGTTATTGGCATGCTTTTACTTTTGAGTACTCAGATGATCGGTTTTGGATTGGCAGGATTTTTAAGAAAATGTAAATCTCGATAATTTTCTTGGATTTTATAAATTTCACAAAAAAATTAAATTAAATATTATATATATTTATAGATCTTGTTCGTCCGGCTAATATGTTGGTACGCTAATAATTAAGTTTAATTTTAATTTTAATTTTTAATGTTTATTAATATATATATATATATTTTTTATTATAAAAATTTTATTTTAATATATATATATATTTGAAAATAAAAGTGGCCATCGAATTTAGTATTTTCTAGTCTTTTCTCTACACTTCATGGAAATGTTTCGGACACCAATGATAAATTAAAGTTTTTCACATTTTCATTTATTTCCGTATTTATATGGCAATTTTTTCCACAATTCATATGTACCTGGTTAACTAGTATGGCATTATTATGCTTAATAAAACCATTTGACAAGAATATAGTAAGATTAGGAAGTGGATATAATGGTTTAGGTATATTAAATATTTCATTAGATTGGAATGCGATTGGACAACAAGGTCCACTTTATACACCATGGTAATATTTAATTTTAATTTTTTAATTTTTTAATCTTTAATTTTTTTTTTTTTTAATTATTTTTAAATATTGATTATTTAATATATATATATATATTTTATTTATATATATATATAGGTGGGCACAGATTAATTGGTATTTTGGTGCCATCCTTGGTACTTGGATAATTGCACCAATTTTATATTATAATAATTTTTGGTAAACATTTAATACATTAAAATGATGCATTAAATTTAGATTTTATGACAAAAATTTATCATTATAAAGATTTTCATAATATTAAATTTTGATTAAAGGATGGCTAAATCTTTTCCATTCCTGGCTACATATTCGGTAGACAAGAATGGTGAACGGTACGTTTAGATCATTATTTTAATAATAATACTTTGTAAATTTGTTTCTCATTCATTTATTATTATTGGTTTGTTTTAGATATAATCAGACAGCAATTATAGATTCAAATACCGGGATGTTAAATGAAACAGCTTATCAAGAATATGGACCAGTATATCTGAGTGTAACATTTGCTATCGGATATTTTTATTCATTTATTTCCTTCACCGCGGCAATTACACATGTAATTCTTTTTTACGGAGATGAAATTTGGGCAAGATTCAAAGCAAGTCGATCAGAAGAAGTGGAAGATATTCATTGTAAAATGATGAAAAACTATGAAGGTTGTACAAATTATAATTGTGGAATATATATATATATATATTTGTGTAGATATTTTTTAATCTTATTTTAATTTCTTCAAATTTTTTTTTATATTAGAGATTCCAGATTTATGGTATGCTTATTTATTTGCGATGATGTTGTTAGTGTCCATGATATTATGTTATGTAGCTGAGGCTCACTTGCCTTGGTGGGGATTATTACTTTCTGTTGGTCTGGCAATAACAATGGTGTTGCCTATTGGTAAATAAAGGATATATTTTACTTATTTTTTACTTATTTCGCTTATTCTACTTGGGAATATAAGATTTATTTTAATATACATAAATATATAATATATTTATTTTGATATTTTTATTTTTTTTAGGTATAATTCAGGCAGTTTCTAACAATCAAGTTGGTCTCAATGTTATATCAGAAATGATTTGCGGGTAATTCTAGTTTAATTCATCAAAAAATTTTTAATATAAATTTTATTATAATTCAACATTAACTTGTTATTATTATTATTTATTATTTATTATCATATTTTATTTAATAATGTATAGATATATATTTCCGGGTCGTCCAATAGCAAATGTTTATTTTAAATGTTATGGATATATGGCAATGCATCAATGCCTTGCATTCGTTTCTGATTTAAAATTAGGTAAAATTAATAAATTCTCATCTTTTCTAATTTATATAATTTATTAATTTTTTTATTTATAATTCAAATTCTATTTTATAATAGGTCATTACATGAAAATTCCACCTAAAGCAATGTTTACAGCACAATTATGGGGCACAGTCGTTGGTGCCTTTATTAATTATTGGCTTCTACAATTGATTATATGGGCTAAACGACCTTATTTAGATGGAACTATTAAAGATCCTACTGGTCAATGGACTGGATTTAGATCACAAGTTTTTAATACAGCATCAATTATATGGGGATTAATAGGACCTGGAAGGACATTTGGACCTGTGAGTATCATACTATTTAAGGATTATCTTGATGTTTATTTTTAATTGGTTTTAATATAATAATAATAATAATTATAATTATTGTTGTTTTAATTATTTTAAATAATAGGACTCAATATATAATTCTTTACTTTGGGGATTTCTTATAGGATTTATTTCACCATTTCCATTTTACTTTTTACATAAAAAATATCCCAAGGCTCGTTTTAATTTAGTCACAATCCCATTGATTTGTAAAGGTTTATCACTTCTTCCAGGAACATACACTAATTTCTTAATATCAGGATTTATTGCTAGTTTTTTAAGTCAATATTATGCATTGCATTATTATCCCAAGGTATTATTATTATTATTACTGTTATTTTTATTATTATTGTTATTATTATTTTATTTTAAAATGATAAATTTAAATGAAATTAAAATTATTTATTATTCATTGTAACATTTTTTATAATATTTATCAGTGGTGGAAAAAGTAAGTATTTCTAATATTCTAATATTCTAATGTTATAATGTTATATTTATTTATTATTTTATTATTTATTATTTATATTTATATTAATTTCATAGATATAATTATGTATTGTCAGCAGCATGTGATAGTGCATCACAGATAGTGACAATGGTTATATTCTTTTGTTTCAATGGTTTATTTTCGGTTAGTCATCTTTTTACTAATTATTTTATTATTTTTTTTTTAAATTATTTTGATTATTATTATTAGTATTATTTTTTATTTTGATTAATGAATTTATTATTATTATTATTATTTTTTGATAGTTTACATTTCCAGATTGGTGGGGTAATAATTATGAAACTCAAGGTGAAAGATGTTTTGAGCCTAAGACATAAAAAATTATCTAATTTGGGGGGTTTTTTCTTATTTGTTCAAAAATAATTTAGTAATTATTTTAAGCACTTGGGATGAGAAAAGGGATATGAGATTGTAAAGTGTACATATGTGATATTATTTATCATAATTATCATGTTATTATTATTTTTTGTAGAAAATGTTATACAGATGTTATATTGTTTTTAGGATTATTAATTTTTTGATTTATATGTGTGATATCAATTGTTTAGATTTAAATAGATTAATCTTCCTTAATTGACTGTTTAAAATGATTATACGATGATTTTTTTTTAAAAAAAAAAAATTTAAAAATAAATAGAAAATCAATATCATAAATAAATTCTGTTTATTATTATTATTTTTTTTTTTTAGGAAATGTTTATATATTTATGAATTTAGTTAAAGAGATATACGGATTATTTATTTAACAGTAAAATTAGTAATCAATCCGAACAACAATATTTTTACTAAACAGATTCCTGCAGATCATTTCTGCCCAAATTATTTTTTTTCGAAGCCGGAAAATTTTATTAATGATTTACAAAATTAAAATTATGGAAATCGTAAAAAAATAAAGAAATTCACTTAGTTGTTTTTATCAATTTTTATCCTGAAAAATAGAAAAAAAAAGTTCAACTTGAAATGCTACCAAATCCATATTTCCAATTAGTTAAGTGGACAATTGTAAGGGCTCAGAAGGGACATCGCCTTTACAGTTTATTTTACGTGCAGCATTGACCTCCAAGTGTCAACTTAGGATTGGAGAAAACTAGACGTTTTATTCCATTCGCTAAAAAAAATATTTATATGATTTATATGTATATATGAATTATATATTACCTGTCATTAAGAGTCACCTTGAAACTTGGAGGACAGCATCATACAATAGAAATAGAATATATGAAAAAAAAAAGAGAAAAAGAAGGCGAAACCAAAGCCATTAATAGTAGAAGGAGAAGAAGAAGCATAATAATCAGAAGAATCATACGAAGGGGAAGCAAAATAGGTATGAAGAAAAAAGTATGAAACCGTAATATTACGTAATATTAAAGATTTACATAGATTTACATAGATTTACATAGATTTACGTACGTAAATTTACGGAGATTTACGCCTAAAAAAATTTCCGGATGAGCAAGTTCATGATAATAGGAATGAGAAACGTAAGTAAAAATAAGCGGCAGTATAAGAAGAGTAGCATATGGAGAAGAAGGAACTGAAAAATAAGGAGCAGAAGCGCGATTTTCATTTCAAAAATATTTTGAAGATAACTTTTAAAATTTTAAATAATAATGACTAAACTATTTTTTAAATCTGATTTTTATCGGAATTCCTGATTCCGAAATTCCATTGGTCGAAATTACCTAATCTCAAAATTTCTAATTTTTCGTGAAATGAATTTTTTTTTTTAATTCATTGATAAAAAATGAAGGAATTGATAACTAGCATTAGCTAAGTTATTCACTGTTTATGAAGTTATATGAATAAAATTTAGTGATTTCGCTCATGAAAAAAAAAAAATGCAAATAGTAATTAATTTTATTTGAATTTATTTAATTAATTTGATTCTTGATTCGCATAACTGATAATATTTCATTTCATAATGATATGTCGTATAGCTATCATTTGATTTCATCAGAATTTTTTCTACAAAGAATGAATACAATATCTACATAGCAAACTTGGAATCATTCATGCAAAATAAGTTAATTGTATTAATAAGTAAGGTGATTATTATTAAAATATATATTGACTTTATTTTACGATTCTGATAAATGTACTTGTGATTTTTTTTTGATATTCTTGATATTCTTTTTTTCATAAATTATGGATTTTCATTAATTCCATTCTTAAAATCATTTACATTCTCAATATTATTTACATTAATTACATCAATTACTTTAATAGTTGATATGATTATCCTTTGTGAATTTCTCATCTTTGACAATAATAATAATAATATTATTATTATTATTATTGTTGTTATTATTATATTATTATTTAATCATTTTATTATAACAAATCATAATAAAAATGAATTTCATTTCTAAATCTAAAACCATTAGTCCGGATGGTCATAATTATTCAACCTGAAACGATGAAACAATGTTATTAATAGCAAATTTTAGTGCTTGCTGTAATTATAGAATTTTTATTTTTTTCCTCTAGGCAAATATATAGTTCTGAAACAATTTTATAATTTGAAACAATTGCATGCATACTTAAATTAATTATATTAAATTACATAATTATATATAAATTATATTAACAAATATAAGTTAAATAATATATGGATTTTCGGTTTTTTTTGTCGTACCTGTCATAGGGTTGATAGATAATAGATGACAAATATGATTTTTACAAATTCCTTGTCCCCAAATTTATAATAAAAATTTGATATTTGGCGGTTTGACACCAGTGACAAATTTTACCCCTTGAACCAAACATAACCCCAATCATGTGTAATCGTATAATCGTATAATCGTGAGTCTATCGTATGATCGTATAATCTTATGATGTCACATTGAAACAATTAAATAACTGTACACATGAAAAAGATATTCCTCTTCACATAAACTGTACAGATAATCTAACGTTTATTTTATTTTTCCGGATTAACCTTTTTTTACCTAAAGTACATATACTTAAATTCATTCAGTTAGTCCATTCACTTAATTTTTTTTTTCTAGCATCCGACAATTTTCAATACTAAATTTATTTTTCATAGTACTAGATTTTTAAGTCAAATAAATATAATTAAGTTATAATTGATAATAATTGATAATAATTAAGTTATAAATAGATAATAAAAAATAGAGATATATTAGTCGAATTTATAGTTTTTTTAACATTCGATCATCACCGTTCAGTCAATCATCAAATAAACATTCATTCCAATTTCCGGATATGTGAAAGTTAAAAAACTTTGAATTACATTGAATGAACATTGAACATGACAAGAAGTAATGGTATATAATATATATGTATCAAACCTTTTTAAAAATTCACATTTTCTCTCTTTCTCTCTTTTCCTCTCTCAATTCTCATCACCTTTACATTATCTTTACATTATCTTTATTCTCTCTAAGGCTTGATATATCTTCTATGATTTTTTTCATTTAGACTTAGTAAAATTTTATTTTATTGAAAAAATTTTGAAAATTTTGAAAATTTTGCGCGCGTTTATTATTATTATGTGGAGTGTATTTGATAGATATAATATATATATATTTTGAGAATATTAAAAAAAAAAATTAATTCTATATCATCATCATAATAATAGTAATAATAATAAATAATCTTTAACACACATAACATATTTTCTTATTCACATTAAATTATTTATCCAATTTTTCTCTCAATATATATATATTTTTTATAAAGCCTTTTTTTTTTCTCTCTTTTGTTCTTCTAATAAAAAAATTTCTATTGAAGTTAAACGACATCACTCCACTCCTCATAATAATAATAATAATAATAATTTCGTCAATTCCGTCAATTTAAAATAATTCACTAAATTTCACAATGAGTTTAACTAATACAATTAGTAATACTACAAGTAGTAGTATTCTTAGTAGTCGTACTACTAATACTACTACTTCTATTAGTATTGTATCTAACGAAAATGAATCCATTGCTAGTTCTTTTGATTTAATTGATAACGAAAATAATTATAACAAAAAAAATGATAATGAAAATAATGACAATAATAAAGGTGACGACAATAATGAAGATAATAATAGCGATAATAATGATAATGTAACAATTGATAATGTAACGGTTGATAATGTTCAAGGTAAATATTTGTTGTTGTTTACATGTATTATGTAGAGAGAGATATATATATGTGCGTATATGTATTTTAACATTATTATTTTAATTTTAATTTTTTTTTTTTAAGATATAAATAAAGATAAAAAAATTGACGAAATTGACGCTCGTGCATTTAAATCACAATTTGATGGTAATTATCAAATTTATTTATTTATTTCATTCATTTCATTTATTTATGTATTTATTTATATTTATTTGTTTATTTTCCAATAATAGAAATTTCATGTGCTTCGAGATTATTAGAAAATGCCAAATTAAATAATCTCATTAATTTCAATAATAATAATAATAATCGATATAATGGTCTCGCTGGACGACCTATTTTAATGAATTCCAACTTTTCATTGAGAAGAACCGATGTAACTTCAACGATTACAACAAATCACTTGACCCCTCCTTTTTCTTCGCCACATTTACAATTTAATAATAACAAGAATAATCATCATTATCAACATCATCAAAGATCCATTTCTAATCCTTCAACTCTTATTACTGCTCGTCAAAACAATTTACAACATAAACGAAGTACATCATCAATTTCAGGATTATCATTTAATGGATACTCTAATGGTATTAGTAATAGTAATATTAGCAATATTGGTAGTATTGGTAGTAATGGTTATCGTCCTAATTCGCCACATCATCCTCATCCTCATCATCATCATCACCATCATTATTCTTCTTCTTCTTCATCTTTATCATCTTTATTATCATCAACTTCATCTTCTTCATCTACTTCAGGTAGAAATACTTTACCTGGTACACCTTTAAGTTATGATTTATTTGAATTGGATGAATATTTACCTTCACAATTTGGATCATCTTATGGTATTCTTGATGAAAGTATTGGTGGTAATAATAATAGTAATAGTTTAAGATTAAAGAATTTAAGAGATTTTAATAATAAGAATAATGGTAAGTTTATTATCTTTTATATTATTTCGTTCATATTATCTTATTCATATTATCTTATTCATATTATCTTATTCATATTATCTTGTTCATATTATCTTATTTTTAATAAAATAAATAAACTTTTTTTTTTTTTCAATCAGAATTAGATTGGGATAATTCATCACCACCTTCTTCTCTTCCAATGACGCCTTCTCAATCTCTCCCTTTGTTATTATTTGATGATGATGATTTATTGGAAAAACAATTACTTTTAGAAGAAGAAAGAAGAATTTTGTCAATTCAAAAACGTCAATTGGATAATGCAATTCATCAATTACGTTTTAATAATAATAATAATAATGATGTTAATAAAAGTAATAATATTAATAATAATGATTCAAATTTAAGTTCTTTGATAGAATCAAGGTTTAAATTTAATCGTTCTCCTTCTTCTCCTTCTCATAAATCAACTTCTTCTTCTTCTTTAAAGAATATATCTATTAAAACATACAATACTAATAGTAATAATAATAATGTTAATAATAACAATAGTAATAATAGCAATAATAACAATAATAATAATATTATTATTAATAATAATATTAATAATAATAATATTAATAATAATAATATTAATAATAATAATAATAATATTAAAAATAACACACCAAGATTTCAACTTAATCAAGAACCAATTGGTACACCAGTTAGAAGAAATAATAGTAATAATTCATCTACATCTTCTTTAATGGACTTTTCATCGCCATTATCACCACCATTATCATCTTCATTTCCATCATTTCCATCATCACCATCTTCTCCTTCTTCTTCAATTTCTTTATCACCACCACCATCTTTTTCTCCTTCTTCAACTCATCATTCCACATTTTCTCTATTCTCTAAATCACCAGCCCTTTCTCTGAATCATATTACTGAAAATTTAAAAAGTAATAATAATAATAATAATAATAATATCGATGAATTTCCTTGGACTTCTATTAATGAACGAGAAAAACAACGACAACAACAAATGCAACAGCAAATGCGTGAACGACAACAAATACAACAAACACGTTATTCATCGAATCCATTAATCCCAAATAATTCATATTTTATTCGAACTCCATTATATTCATCTTCTGTTGATGAACGTGATGAAGATTCTTTATTAATATGGAATGATGATGATACTACTAACCTTCATCATATCCCTTCTGTAAATAATAATAATAATAATAATAATAAAGATAATAACATTAATAACATTAATAACATTAATGATAATAATTGGGAAAGATATCATGAACGTATGGCTACAACATTTAAGAATAAGTTAAATCAACAACATCTTCGAATGACAATGGTTTGATGAAAGTTAGTTGTTTCTGTTGTTTTCTTCTATTTTTTTCTTTTCTTTTATTCTATTCTATTCTATTATTTTTATTTCATTCTTATTTTTTTTATTTCATTCATTTCTTTTATTTTTATTTTTTATTTTGAAGTGTTATTTTATTAACGGGATTTATAATATATCACAAATTTATATTTTTTTTTTTCAATATTTCATTCGTTTATTATCAATAGAGGGTTGTTTTTTTTTCTGTTATTATATTAATAGAGGGTTGGGCTAATGCTCGATGTAATAATTTTATTAGTTTTTATTTTTTATTATATTATTTATTTATTTTTTAATTACCAGGGGAGTCACACATATGTGTGGCGTGTGTGCGCGCGCGTGTGGTGGTGGTGTTAATTTTTCATAATTAATTTTTCCTCATTAATTAATCTTTTAATTTTTTTTTATTTTTAATTACTTTTAATATCTTTATCTTAATATAATTATTGTAATCTAGTCTAGCAAATATAATCTATTAGTAATGTGGGAAAATTATTTCTTTTTTAATAGGTTCTTTTTTATTATTATTGTTATTTGTTTATTATTCATTTACTGTATTTATTACATTTGGACCTTTCCAGTCTGTATTTGAAAAAAAAGTCATGTTTGTCAAAATGAAATGACAATCTTATAAATTAATATTTGACCTTTTATTCGTTTGTTTCATTTCATTATTTCATTTATTATCGTGAGAGAAAAAAAAATATCTTTAATTTTTTAAACAAGTTATCTCAAAACTTTATTGAACTTCTTGATAATAAAGATGATTACAATGTTAATCATTGAAGTTGAATATACAAATCTTATTTTTGAAAGTTCATATTTTAATTCTTATATTAGCGAATAAAATAATCACGTGCGCATGAAGAATTCTTTCACGCCGATTACTTTTCCAAACGTAACATTGTAAAAACATCAAGCCGCATGAAATTACTAACTTTATTGCAGTACATTAAAAAATCTTTATAAGAATAGCATGAGGTAACAAGCAAAAAGTAATTACAAATTTCTATGATATGTACATGATTCTAATTGTAATCACATGAATCGAAGCAAAATGCGAGAAATCATGTGAAGTCCTTTTGGAAATAAAAATTCTTCATTGGTATCTTTGTTTTTGTATTCACTCGTTCTTGGCTAATTTGGTTCATGTTGCAGATTTGCTCAAGAGAAACGGTATGGATGTTTTTGACTTTATTATTATAGATAGAGGAATTAATTTGTATGCTCTTCCAGCAAATGGTCCAAAATAGTTCACAAAGGCATTTCTATCCACAATTTCAGACCTTTTCGGAATTTCAATATTACATTCTGCAGTTGTAAAGAGGATGAAAAAATCATTTTCCGATGCAGATTTTTCACGCTCTTCTTGGTACTCCTTTTTACTGACTTCTTTTTTTCGCAATTCAAATTGGTGGATTTCTCGGTACCCGACTGATCTAATGAAGGAAGGAATCTCCATATGGTGCAGCTGGGGCATTAATGATACAATGTTTGAATTGCCGAACATCAATGGTAGAATTATGGCAATCAACATTAAATTCGCTTGCAGTGAGACTTTTAGATTTTGTGTCTGTATGGTGTTTTGCAATTTCAAGTCGTAGATTGTGGTTTTTAAATTGGATGTCACCATTCAAACGTGCTCCCACGTGAACTTCTGAGATAGTTGTTAGCTCATCTTCCTCAATAACAGCTGACTTTATACAACGAAATGACGCGACAAAACTTTCAAAACTCTGCCATGACTTCACTTGCAATGTTACTGGATTCAAGAGTGCTCTTTGCTCCCCATAATCAGAAAATTCCCAATCTCGAAGCAATGGATCTCCTCCTTCATTAGATATCTCCACAAATATCCAGACCCAGATGTATGGTGCAATGAGATACCCCATTACTACTTAATTGTTCAACCCACTCCCAACAAATTTTCAGTAAGGTTATAACGCAGATCGTTCATCAAAGTGTTGATGTTGCATTCTTCAATGTTACGACCAGCCAAGAAATCATTCAGAGTTTCTAGAGCCCTTCCATGCCCTCCACAGTCTTCCGCGAGAGTATTAGTGATCATTTTTAAAGACCGGGACCAAATTATCTCCTTGTCGATAGCTTGGGGGTTGTAGAGTAGGTTTATACATTTCCGCAGTGAATATCATCAATCGGCCCCGTGATACATGAGGTGAAAACTGGTAGCCACTAAATGCAAGATCTGCAACAAATGTCAGAGTCTTGTAAAACTTAGAATTTAACTTTAAACCATCATCTTTGTTCTCCATGAGTTGTTGCATGCCGTCAACAACCAAAATGACTGTAACGTTTTTCAAGTCTCGGTTATGGTGTTTGGCAATCAATGTCACAACATTCAACGCATCTGGTGGCTTGAATGTCCTGATAATTTCATGAAACATCATTTTCTCTCTGAGAAGTTGAAATAGCATACGAGTAACAATGGAAAGATAAGGGTTGGATTCATCTGATCGTAAGGCGAGGCCAGTCTCATAGCTGACAAGGAATACCCAAGATTCTTTAATCCTAGTCAACAGCTCCTCGTCTTCTTGAGCTGACAAACATGTGATTGCCGTCTGGTGAAATTCATTAGCGTTTCGAGATTTTCCGGTACCAGCTCCAGAAAGGAAGAGATATAGTGGAATATTCAATTTGTCAAAACGCCCTAAAATAAAATTTTCATAATGATTTTTAAGCTCTCTTCGCAAGATCTGCTTCAAAGATGGGTCAGGTTGATATTCCCAATTAGTACCAGAAGTGTAAAGCAAAGGTTCTGGTTTCACATATGGCAACCCTAGCATATAAATACATAATACATCCGATTAGCCTCAGCATAAGAATGACGAGTTTTTTGCAGGGAAAAGCATCAATGATATTTTTCATAACTTTTGTGTTTTGGGAGTTTTTTTTTGAGGATGAGTAAATAAGAAAAGCACAAGATTATGTATTCGATATCACATAATAAAGACGAAAAATGGTTAACGAAAAATCTAGCAAGGTCACATTCACTCGTGTTGTCTAAATTTCGACTCACTTACTGGTGACAACGGTTGACTCTACGATAACGTAAATATGTTTTTTGGGCGGGTTTGATGATAAGAAGTAGTAAAGAAAAGCACAAGATTAAGTGAGTATTCGATATTATTGGCAAATATGACAGAAAACGAGAGTTTAAGCAACATTATCTTAGGATGTAACAGGTGGAGAGATTAGAGACCTCAAATAATTACGTTTTTCTTCATCAGTATAACAGTCGTCAATGAGAAATAACGCGTCAGCTTAATTCTTTTCATTTCTGATGAAGTAAACAAATAAACTTATTTTTTCGTCTAAACAAACCCGAGGCGATTGATTTCTCCTTTTAGAATTGATAATGGATTGGAATCGGACATGTTTTGGGACGGGTAACGAATGTCGCACAAATTGAACTGATGATTAATCTGCTTTTTTATGAAATCTTATTGGAAGAAGTGTAGAAGCTTGTCACAGTAAAGTTACGCAAATCACATGGAAAAATAGAATCAAAAATCTTTTATTATTTATGCTCGAAGGAAAGTTATGCAAATTGTATGGAGTTCACTATAAACTATGTTATACGAAATAGGTAATGCTCTTTTATACATCAAATTGTTGATTGGTTTATTTCGTTTTTAAAATTTGGGCAATTACATAATCTATATCATCTTAAGATAAATTTAAAATAGTAGATGAGTTAATCCGACATATTAATTCTTTACCATCGATGCTATTAAAAAATCAGAAAATCTTTTTACCCCTTTCTTCCTTTTTCTAAGATTAGTTTCTGCAATTTTATCTTGATTGGGAAGTTCTCTCTGATTTTATCATTAACTAGAACATTATATGCATCTTCACTATATTTTTTCTAAAATGATCGAAGCATAACCTAATACTTTCCCAAAATCATAGTAGCAACAAATCACATCTTGGGCAATTTTCTGATTATTGTCTTCAGCATTGGTAATCTTATCATGTAACTCACGAAAATTGATCGAACGTCTGATTGCAAAATAATGAAAATAATGGTATTACTAGACGGAGTTTGCTGGGTAGGAGTTGTCAATTCTTTGATTAGTTTTTTCAATGTTGGTGAATCTTCTTTTTTAACCGACTTAGTTTTTGATTAATTTATAATTAATTAGAGAATTGTTATATGATATTATTTATATTGATTAGTCCATAATTGATTAGAGAATTGTTATATGATATTGAATTAAATTGAAACATTGATTTCAATAATTATAAATCTAAATACTCACTCACTGTAATATAATTTATATTGATTGATTAGAGAATTTTTATATGATATTGAATTAAATTGAAACATTGTTTCAATAATTATGATAGTTATGAATCTAAGTACTCACAAGCTGTTATATAATTTATATTGATTAATTTAGAAATATAATTTAATATATGTAAATCATTATTAGCAATAAATTTGGTTTTAAAATAAAGTTTAATATAACAATATGCCTACTCTTCCAATTCTTCTGTTTCTCCAGTTTCTTTCATTTCTTCCATTTCTCTCGTTTTTTTTCAATTTCTTTAACTTCGTCCAATTTTTTCTATTTCTCCAATTTCTTTCATTTCCTCCATTTTTCTCATTTCTTTCATTTCTCCGATTTCTTTGATAACTTCTTCCAAACTGCTATTTCTTCAGTTTCTCTATTCTTCCATTTTTCTGTTTCCTTCATTTCTCCGTCCATTTTCTTCAAAATTGAATCAAATCTGTAATTATTATTGTTGTACAAATGAATGTAAAACGGAATTTATTTAGTCCGATAACGTGACTGCATAAATAAAGGAATATTATGGTAACTGATAGATTAAACATAAATTCCGCTGCCTTATGTACTATAAGCAAACAGAAAAATTTTAAAGTATGCGAATGTAATCATTTTAACAATGATTCTGATAACACAATAGATAAATTAATTTAGGATTCTCAACTTTGATAGATTTCAAGATATGTTATGTAGGTTGGTGGATGATTTTGATAGATGTTTTAAATGATTAGTATTTTAAATTGTTTAAAAATCTAAAATATTAAAAACGTTATTTGGATGGAAATTCCTTGAGAACATATTAATATCATCAACACATTTTTATGGAATTACAAAAGATTGGAGGGTACGATCCTTTAACTGGATGCAAATGCTACTAATGGTGCTTGGGTAGAAACAAAATGTTGTTTTATTTTCTCATTGAAAAATGGTAATATAAAGAATTCAATTTTTAGCAGAGTAAAGGAATTTCAATTTGCATTTATGAATTTTGACAAAAGTACTCAAAAATCATTTGTTCCATGTTTAAAAAAGGATTTTAATATGTTTAGTCTTAGTTTTAATTTTAAATATTGTGAATATAAAAATAAATATGGTCATTATGAAAAACTCACAACACCACCAACCATCATATCGTTATTGTTTCTCAATTGTTGATTATGAAGTTATTAAAAAAAAACTATTTAGAAATTCAATCTTTTCTACTATTATTATATGTATATATACATAAATGTATTTATATACACATTAAATATTTATTAAATTTGTACAAATTATAAATAATTCGTTATTAGATTTTTTTGTTATTATTATAATGACGATTAAATTCATCATCAGAAGAATCTATATAATCATCTTCATCATCAGAATCAATAGGTATTGTTCCAACTCCCATTCTACTAATTAAATTTCCTATTGGACCAGGTAACCCCTGTTGAGCTTTAAAACTTTCTAATACATTTGCAGCTAAATTTAAATTAATATTAACTGGTTTATTTAATTCATCTTCATCAACTTCATCATCTTCATCTTCATCTTTAATTTTTTCATTTTTGTTATTATTAAGAATTTGATTTGATGAATGTATAAATGATTCAATTATTTTAGATGATGATAATTCATCACTTAATGTTTGATAATAAGTTTCCATATCTATATCATTATCTTCATTGTCTTCTTTTTCATTCTCATCCAATTTTTCTTCCACTTCTATTTTCATCACCTTATCATCATCACCATTATGATCATCATCATTTTCTATTATTTCTGTAATTTTGGGAGTTGGTGATTCTATATCATAATGTGAATATTATTAATGATATCAAATGATATCATTAGTATATATATATACACACACATACATATATATATTATTAATTAATTACCTGTTGGAAATTCTTCTACATTCTGTTGTTGTTTTATTTTTACATTTGCCATTTCTCTATATTCTTCATCAGTTAGCCCTTTAATAATAATAATAATAATAATAATATAATTAATATATTATTATTATTATTATTATAAATTAGATATAAATAAAAATTAAAGATTACCTAATGTTTCCTTCATTATTCTTAAAAAATTTGAAGGATTGAAATTGATTTGATTATTTTTGTCATCCATATCAAAATCATCAAAATCATCATAATCTCCATCTGAATAATGTTCACTATAATTTTTTTAATTTATATATTATTTTAAAAATAAATTAATAAAATTAATAAAATAAATTAATAAATTAATTAAATAAAATATTAACTTACTCTGAAAATTCAGCTCCTTCAATACCTGCGTTCTCATCATTGATAAAACCTTCCAATTTATCTATCATGTCGCTTAGATCAAAGGTATTTAATTCTTCTTCTTCAGTCTTTAACCGAAATATTAAAAAAAAAATCAATTAATAAATTAATAAATTAATAAAATTAATAAATAATAAGATTAATAAATTAAGAAATAATAATTAAAAAATAAATTAACACATAACAAACCTCTTTTTTCATTTCATCATAATCATTAAGATTTTCATAATTTTCATAATTTCCTTTGGATGATGCTTCAAGCAAATCATCCAATTGTTTAGGATCAACTTTCAACCAACTCTCATCATCTTCAGTTAGATTAGTTATTAAAACTTCATCTGGTATCATTGGTTGATCTAATATTTCATTAATCTGTTCCACTGGTAATTTGATTACTTCCATTTCATTATCATCATCTTCTTCACTAAATAAATTAATAAATTAATAAATTATGAATAAATCAAATTAAGAATAATATAAAATAATGTATAACTTAAAATTATTAAATTTATATTTACCTGGAAATTTTTAGAATTTTATTTTGTAAAAATTGTTCTTTGGCAATTTCATCTAATTTCTTATACGCATTTGATCCTGGTAAATTTCCCCGATAATAATCACGTGCTAATAAATTAGCATGAAATATTCGCCATGCTGGATCAGAATCAAAAGGATAAGTCTATAATAATAATAATAATAATAATAATATAGTAACAAGTGAAAAAAAGTTGTAAATTTAACATATTCTAATATACTTAATATTGGGAATCTAGAATTTAAATAAATTATTTATTTACTAACTTCAATATTGATATCTTTAGATCTTGTTGGCAGTTTAGTATAATATTTGTCTGAACAAAGTATTTCAAATCCACATGCCTAAAAAAAATATTTAATATTTAAAAAAATATTTAAAAAATTATTAAAATATATATATATATAAAATAAATGTTATAATAAATAATTTACCAATTTCATTCCCAATTCAGCAGCTGGAAATTTATTTGATGTTCTAGGTGGAAGTTTAAATGGTTTGGGTGGATTAAAATTTTGATGAACTATTTGAGCATATAAAGTTTTGGTAAATTTCACTGTAACAGTTATTGATGTTGAAGGATGAAATTTCTCCATTTTTTGACATGCCTAAAATTAAAATTAAAAATTATTTTAATATTATTTAATGTAATACTATTGTAATGACTGTATATAATAATATATAATAATAATATTGTAAAACTAAAAAAAAAATATATACACACTTTCAAAGCAATTGGATCACGCGTATAAAATGCTTCAACAGCTGGAGCAATCAGTTGAGGATTATTATACAAGATATGAGCAATACTTCTTGGAATATGACATCGAGCATGATGAATATTTTGTTTAATCTTATCAGGATATCTAAAATTGCCAAAAATGAATATTAATGAATATTAATGAGGATTAACAGTTATTAATGAATATTAATGAATATTTAAATATAATAAATAAATAAAAAATAAATAAATAAATAAAAAATAATAAATAAAAATAAATAAATAAATAAATAAATCAATCAATTAATTACTCTCTTATTTTTTGAAATACAGCAGATTGTATGTTATTATCAGCTTTGGTAGAAATGTTATTATTCCGCACTAATTGAATTGCCATTTCGATAGATAATCTTTCCGTGATAGGATGAATTCTTGTCGTTGTATGTTCTGGTGATGATGATGAAGATGATGATGATGGAATTATTAAATGAAGGTCATTTTGATATATGAAAACCTTTATTAATGAAAATATATTATTTTATTCCTTTAATTAAGATATAATGAGAATTATTTAAGAAAATAGAGATACATATTATATAGAGAAAGAAATGTGTGTGTGAAGAGAGGTGTATAAAGAAAAAAAGAAAGTGATAAAGAAGGAAAATAATAAATAATTCTTACTCTATTTTCAGTATTATTAGGTTCCATCCAAGAAGGAATTTGCATTGCTGCTTCAATTAATAAAAATTCTCCATCATTATCCGTAACTCTAAAATAATAATAATGAAACTAATTACTTTAGTTGAGAAATGATAATAATGATAATAATGATAATAATGATAATAATAATAATAATAAATAATAAATAATAATAATAATTACTTAATCACAACCGAAGGAAATTTCTTTGAAATATATCTCAATAAAAAAACGATAAACCATTCATCTTCAATACATTCACTAAATATCGTTCTACCATGCAAAAATGAATAACTCGGATCTATTATATGTTACGAAACGTTAATTGAATTTTAAACGAATAATTTCATTCGTTTATTATTTATTATTATTATTATTTACCTGTTTCATTTTTTACAATTCTCAATCTAAATGATTCTTTTTGCCAAATATATCCATTTAAAAATTGATTTAATTCGGATAATATTAATACAATATTTTCTTGAAGAAATTTTATGTAATCATTAATTGAATCATTTTTTGTGTCTGCATTATTTGTGTCTGGGGAAGGTGAAGGAGGAGGAAAGTAAAGGGAATAAGAAACGTAATCTTCTGATGGTGGTGGATGATGAAATATAGAATCCATTTTTTTTTATATAAAAAAATCACTATCAAATATAATATTAAAATAAAGGTAAATCTATTTGTCACCAGTGGTGATTGTCACCACTGGGCAAAATTACATAATTCCCCCTAACCTTAACTTTGTTAATTTTGCCCAACGGTGACTTATCCAAAAAAATCTTTGTGATCAATCATAAATTCGTGAAAATTTAGCTTTAATTAATAATAAACCAAGAGAACTAAATAATATATATTCATTACTAATACTAAATCTACGAATATAATTAGATATATATATCTAAAGAATATATATTTAAAGAATATTTTTCAAATTTAATCAAATGTTTGTCCATTACTTTTCTTGCAATATTTTTATAATGTCAATAGAATATAATTTATCATCTAAATTTTTAATTTCGTTTTAATTGATTCTGAAAAATGTATTTAAAAAATCATAATTTAAATACGAATGCATTGAATAACTTTTTTTTTTTTTTTTTTTAAAAAAAAAAAAAAAGCATGTTAGATTATCATAAAATTCAAATTTAAAAATTTTTTTCAACAAGTTCTATTATAAATAAGAAGGATGCCAATTGCTACGTACGTATAAAACATAATAAGTTAATCATTATTGCTTGCTATCTACAAAAATTTAAAATAACATTTTAAAGAATTTTTGATTAATAGGCTCAGTGATAATGAAGACGAACGATGAAAGCTGAGTAGAAGAGCAATATACGAATAAAAGTATTCATAATTTAATTTGCATTATATTTTTTTTTTCTATGATATTGTCATTTTGTATAAAATTACATAATATAAAGTTACATGCATATCTTTAATAATAAAAAGGATTTAGAATTCGTGTTACCATATTAATTGTTACATAAAACGGGAAAAAAATTTTTCAACCCATATTTACAAAAAGTTTCTCAATTATTCATTATATTATATTTTTACAAAATGTGAGTATTGAAATTCCGGAACTCAAAGTTTTCTAACTTAATAACTAATCTAATTCAAAACATGTATGTTCTCATCTTTTAAATGAATGCACGTTACATTATTATATTACAGGGAGTGAGTATTTTAGTTTCATAATAATTAATGAAAAATCAAAGTTTCAAGCAAGATATATTTAAAATTAAATAATTCAATATCTTAAATTATTTACATTATTTATATTACAGGGAGTGAGTATTCTAGATTTTAATTATAAAAAATTATAGTTTTAAACTATTTAATATCAAATTTTTCTAATCCATCGTACATTTATTGCAGGAAGTAAATATTAAAATTTATTATTTTCAAAATATAGAAGTTTTATAAATAATAATAATAATATATCTATTTTTTTTTAGTTTCACCAAAGAATATGGAAAATGTAAAGAATGTCAACAAGACAATACCGGACAACAATGGTGTAATACATGTAATGGTAAAAGATTTCAAAGTGAATTTGACAAATGGACAACCGGAGATACAGAAATTGATGAGTTTATTCAACGAACTCAACTCAATGCAACTTCTTGTGAAGGAGTTATTGAATGGATTCCATTTAATAAATTGGATGATATTATATGTATTTCTAATGAAGAATGCAGCACTATTGAAAAGGCAACATGGTCTGATGGATATATTGAATCTTGGAATCATGAAAAGAAATATTGGCATAGATTTGATAATCAAAGTGTTTGCTTCAAACATCGTAATCCTTCTTCAAGTAAAAGTGAATTTTTAAAAGAGGTGAAATATTTTCTATTTTAAAATAAAACAATGATTATTATTTTTTTATTTTTATTTTTTTTTATTATTATTAGTATTGAATTAATATTTTAGATAAGAAATCAACTCAAATTTCGAGGTGGATGGGCAATTGCAATTTATGGTATAACTAAAAGTCCAGTAGAAAATGAATACATGATGGTTTTACAATATGCGAAATATGGTAGTCTTCGAAATATGTTAAATAATAACTTTAAAGAGTTAACTTGGAAACAAAAAATTCAAATTATACTTTTTATAGCTTATGGACTTGCTAAAATTCATGAAATTGGATTAATGCACAAAGATCTTCACTCTGATAATATAGTTAATGAAACTATAACTAGTTCTTATATTACTGGTTTTGGTTCAAGTAAACCAGTTTCACTACTAAATGATAAAGAAAAAATTTATGGAATAATTTCATATACGTCACCCGAAACATTGGATAGAGGAGAATATACTCAAGCATCTGATATTTACTCTTTTGGCATGATTATGTTAGAAGTTTTTACTAGTTATCCACCTTATTATAATATTCCACATGATGAAAAACTTGTTAAGTTAATTTGTGATGGAAAAAAATCCGAAATTAAATGTGAAATTCCACAATTGCTCAGAGATATAATGGAAAAATGTTGGAACTTTGATCCTTTCGATCGCCCAACTGCTAAAGAATTGGAAATTCAGTTTAAAAATTATTCAACGAATAATGATCTTGAATTAGAAAATCAAATCGAAGAAGCTATTGAGTCAAATAAGAATTTCATTCATTATGATCCAAGAATAACACTTCCTCAAGATTATATACATGTAAACGTTTGTCTTTTCCGAAATTAATGAAAGTTGAAATTATTAAACATGATTCATATATTTTTTTTTTGATTTAATAATTGCCTTTTTTTTAAAAAAAAAAAATAAATAAAATTATTATTTTAGATGCAAAAACAGTGGGATCTTGATGAGATGGTATAAGTGAGTATTGTATTTCTGTTGAGAATTTATTATCCGTTTTAATCTTGATATAATTGTGACAATTTTAATATATTTTATGTATTTATCTAATATTAGTAACGATCTTTATAATCAGATATTATATATTTTTATATTTTATATTTATATTATTTTATATTATTATATGTTTATATGTTTATTTTTTTTATTTGTTCACTGGAATTATAAGTTATATAAAGTAATAGCTTTTTATTTAAAGTAAAAAGCAGATCAGTATGTGATCACTTAAAATAAATTTACTATATAGTTGTTTACCATGAAATGAATTTATTTATCACAAAATCTTATATTTAACATATTATATTAAATAAAGAATGGCTTGTATAGCTGATTTTTTATATCTTTTATATATATATATATATATATGCTTAATAAAATATTATTTTTAGTAGAAATAAATAGATAAATTATATATACACGCATGTATAAAAAAATGAATACTTGATAAATTTTTTTAAGAAATAAATTATTTATGTAGCACTGCTTTTTGTATTTCAAAATAATTGTTTCTTTCGTTTGTTCAGATAGAAATATATATCGAAATATAAATTTATAATTTGATACCATTATAAATTCAAAACTATTTATAAAGTATATTTGATCTTTAAAATAAAAAAAATATTATTTTATAAGCCTATATATCGAAATATAAATTTAAAATTAAATACAAATACATCTAAAACAATTAATTATATTCGAAATAGGAAAAACCGAAATTGAAATTAAGTAAAGGTCGGAGTAAGTAAAAAAAAAGGAAGAAAAATTCTTTAACTTTAAGAATAATGGTCACTTAAGAAAGTCTAGAATTATTCAATGTTTTTTTACGAACACAGCCTGAATCTTAATTAAAGAATTATCTATAATCTATTTTTGTGTTATCGATCATGAAACTTCAAGTAACAAAATTATCAAATGATCAAGTTATCAATAATATCCCAACCTCCTTAACAGATGACTAAATTGGCTTTGTTCGTAAATTTGAAAAAAAATATGTGCGCTAAATATTTAAGTAAAAAACTAACTAATCAGACCGGACTGTATCGTTATTGATTCATGTGTTGTTTAATAATTATAAATAAATAAAAAATTTATAAATAATCTTTAACTCCTTGATCCTGTTCATTTGATAATGTGTCTTAGTTTTGATATTGCAAAGTGAATAAGATAATTCTTTGACTGAGAGGTGACTATCGTTATCCATGTAAGAGTAAATTCAAATTTGTAAAAAAATCGAATTTTATTTAAGTAACCCCTGTTCTTCGGGTAAAAGAATTTTTCTTCTATTTTTACTCTTACTTTATACCATTTTACCATTTCTATTTCTATTTCTATTTCGAATATACTTAATAGTTTTAAATATAGATATATTTGTAAATATAACTTTTTATTTTTATTATTTCAAATCAAATATACTATTATAAATTTATATTTCGAAATATATGTTTATTTTTAGTAGAATAGAATAAAAAAATGAATGATGCTTTATTTGGTAAAATTTTTTAAGAAAGGAAATTGTTTATGTAGCACTGCTTTTTGTATTTCAAAACAAAAATTTTAAGTTTTTTTTTTATTACTTTATTAATTATTTAATCTTCAAAATTGAACCAAATATTTAACAATATTTTTAAAAAATTGAAAAAACGAGAAAAATGGAAGAAATGAAAGAAACTGGAGAAACTGAAGAATTGGAGAAATTTGAAGAGTAGGCATATTGTTATTTTAAATTTTATTAAAACCATAACTTGTTGCTAATAATTTACATATATTAAATTATACAATTATATTACAGTTTTTGAGTATTTAGATTCATAAATATCGAAATCAATGTTTCAATTTAATTTAATATCATATAAAATTCTCTAATCAATATAAATTATATTAAGTTTGTGAACATTCAGATTCACAATTATTGAAATCAATGTTTCAATTTAAATTCAATATCATATAACAATTCTCTAATCAATATAAATTATATTACAGATGTGAGTATTTAGATTCATAATTATTGAAATCAATGTTTCAATTTAATTCAATATCTAATCAATATAAATCATATTACAGTATGTGAGTATTTAGATTCATAATTATTGAATCAATGTTTCAATTTAATTCAATATCATATATCAATTCTCTAATCATTTATAAACTAATCAATATAAATAGTCGGTGAGTATTTAGATTCTTAATTATTGAAATCAATTTAATTCAATATCGTATGACAATTCTTTAATTAATTAATTATCA